TTCCAATTGTAGAAGTTGTTTCTGATGTGGCTTCACTGCTTGAGTAAACTAATACAGAAGTTACTATTTTTTGTCACTTTTAGAAATTTATCCACCTGTCTTTCCTCCAATATTTTTTCTGTCCCATTCTTTCTCTTCTCCCCTGAAACTCCAATTACTCACATATTTTACCACTTGATTCCATCCAACAAGTCACTGAGCTTTTCAATTTTTTCTCGTTATGAGTGATTTCTATTTAGCTGTCCTTAAGTTCATAGATATTTTCTTTCTATGTATCTTATCTGCTATTAATCTCATCCAGTAAATATCTAGTTTAGATCTTGTATTTTATTGTGGGATTTCATCTACTATACCTATCTTTTCTTGGAGACTTAAAAATCACATTTATTATAGTTATTTCACAATGGTTTCCGATAATTCTAAGACATTGGCTGTTTATAGATCTGCTTCTGTTGACTAATTTTCCTCTTGACTATGGACCACGTTATCCTGTTTCTTCATGCCTTATAATTTTTATTTTATATTGCAGATAATGTGTAAGAAATACTACTAGATGAAGTTAATTTTTATTGTTGTTTTTTTTTCCAAAAAGGAATGTCTTTTCCTTTGTTAGGCAGCTAGAATGATGGGCAGGTTAGTTAAATCCAATCAGGAGTTGAGCAGATTTAGGATGGGCTTGTGGCTTTAATCCTTCTGTTGGAGATGTGGAATTCAGCCACAGGGACCAAAAGATCTTGTATTTGCTTTTCAGCAGAGCCACTACTTCCTGTGCTGCCCCAGTGCTCCTATATCTGATCATACTAGAATTTGAATAAGTAAAGGTTTGGTCAGATTGAGTTCATTTTTGGCTCTAAAATATTTGAATGTGAGCTCAAGCCTCTCCCTACAGGAGATATCTGGGAACACTACAAGACTACTAGACATCAAAATGGCAAGACTTCAAAGTGCGAGACCACAGGACTGAAGATGTTCTCCTCAGAACCAGGCACAGGAGTTCTGGAGCCAGAATCCCTACTTTCAAATCATGCACCAATGCTTTTGAGTTCTCTGATCCAAAACATCACTCAGCCTCTGTATCTTAATTTCCCCATTCCGAAAGTGGGGTAATGAGAGCATCGACTTCAAAGGGCTGTTGTGATCATTAAATAAATATAGTATTACATAAGTGTCAGCTCTGGCTTTTGTGACAGTGATGACCCTTCTCGTCCACACAAGGAAACTGTTCAGGGTGTGCAGACAGTGGAACCAAAATAAAGACAAAGCTTTCACAGCCAAGGTTAAATGCCCTCACAGCCTTTCCTGATAACTTAGATTGGTCTGATACCTCTGCAGATCCCATTGTTGCTGTAATGAAGCTGCCCAAATGCTCCTCTCCCCTTAAATGCATTGCTTTTGCCACTTCTTTGGCCCCCTTTTCCCCTCCTTAAGGCTTCAGAACACAGGAGTTAAGTCTGAAGATACAAATTTTGGGAGAAGAGAACTCATGACTTAGCAAATCTTCCTCCACTTGGCCTGACCAAAGTAAAGGCTCTTTCCTTCTCTACCCCTGCCTTAATCATCCCTGTGAAAAAATGACCCAATGAAGTCTCAGACGTTCCAGATAAGCATGCCACTCTCTAGTGAGGACAATTTCCAGCCCCCAGCTGTGGATGACTTTGTCTCCCAGCTCTCTTGCCTATTAAATACAATGTGACAGCACATTGACTAATTGCTGGAGAATGAGGCCCCAAAGAAGGGTTCCAAAGAAATTGCAGTAAGATTGTCAAAAGAACTGAGCTGGCCAGGAGTGGGATGGGCGCCCAGGGCTTGGGGGCTGGGAACACAGCCCCACTGGCAGGCAGTTGAGGCACCAAGCCCAGGGCCTGTCACAGACGCCAAGAATGCAGAACTGGAATCTGGGAGGTCACAGAGCTGGCTCTCTCTACTCTGAACAGAGGCCTCAGTAGGCACACATTTGTCACTTCCACGCCTGTATTCAGGGTTCCATTCTTCTCAGAGAGGTCCTGTGATAGAAGGCCACTGTGCCCCCTCTCCCTCATCCCTGCCTTCTAAAGGTTGAGTATGAAGCCCTCTCAGGCTGGAGTCATGAGATGGAAGAACAAGTGTTCAGAACCACCTCCTGCTGTGCTCTCCAGCTCCCAACAGTGTCCTCCAAACTCAGCACTTCTCATTTGTATTTGCAGACTAATCAAACCCAAGCCATCCCACACCATGTTTCCTAAACACTCCCTGATAACTATTAATCAGCAAGCTGGTAGGGCCACTGCCTGCCCTGTGACCTTGTTAATGACGGGAGAAGCTTGCCAAATGGCCAGCTTGGCCCCAGAGGCTGAGATATGGGTCTTGCCCAGACTGAAGAGGCAAAGGCATCTCTGTGAGGCATCTGGCACAGGATGGAGATCCCTGGCACTTGATAACAAGAAATAAGGAGGACCTCTCTCTTCAAAGAGCACTGTTAAGAGTCCATCCAGCCACCATCTCCCCACTGGAGAGTGATCTTGGAAACCAAAACAAGGTAGAGGAAAAGCTCCAACTAGGGAGGGAGGAAGAAAACTAGCCATCCCTACGCTGCAGACCTTTGCATTTCTCTGAGGCCAGAATCCAGAGATGGCCAGCCTCAGCAGCAGGAGCTATTTAAGCTAGGTGATCAGAAGCACTTCCTGATGTGAAGGATTGCTAAAACTATTCTAGGTCAGATAAGGAAAGACATGTTATCCATGAAGTGTAGATTTACTCCAACTTAATTAGCTCAGTCTACACTATGTTTATATATGTTCATGTGCAAATTTTTGTATCAATACATGAAACTGAGTACATCTGCTGTAATATTTATTTGATGACCCTCCTCTCTGAGTGGAGACCATATCCTGCTGGATGCCCAGCCATGGTGCTAACCAAGCATCATCTGAGCAATGAAATTTACTGTGTCAGTAAACTGTTGCCAATCAGACAGTATGCCAAGGGTTAGGGGGTGGGAAACCAGGTGTTAAAGGAATTATAGATGTTACTAATAGCCTCAGAGAGCACACCCTAGGTGCCAAAGTGCTGCTCACCAACAGCTTAGCAATTCAGAGGGAGGTGCTGGAAAAGTCAGTTGGAGGGGCTCCCTGGGGGAGTGACGCCTGCAGACTAGGTAGGGGTAGGCATGAGGTGCACATTGTGCTGGCTGGTTTCTATCAGAAGGAATTTCAGGCAGGCCTAAGGGGAAGCACACTAGAGCCCCTAGAATGGCTATTTCTTCCCAGGAATCTTTCCTGAACTAGGAGCCCAGAGCCATGGGCCTATTAGAATTTGTCACATGGAGGGCATATCCTTTCATTAGAGGCAGGGTCTTGAGGAGGAGAGCTTTTGAAGGAGTCCTTTACACCTCCCAGAGCCTCTCATAGGCCCAGGACAGGGCTCCATGCACCATCCCAAACCCACCTGCCCCATGAAAGCAGGATCACGGAAGGTGTGACAACTCACCCATCTGCACTTAGAAGGCATTTGATCCACCAAGAGTGGCAAGCTTGACTGCCCAGGTCCCCAAAGGTAAAAACATGGGGTCCAATCCCACTCCCCACTGTATAACTCAGGCCTAAGCTTTTCTGTGGGGAACAGTTCTCAGGGGGCCAAACCTTGAGTCCCACCAGGCTGAGCCCCCACTCTCTACCTCCACATGGAGTTGGAAAGAAACCAACAGGAACAAAGTCAATATTCCCAGAAAGAATTCTTTCCCAGAAAGAATTAACCGTTTTAGAATATGTGTGGCATCATAGTTAGGAATGAAGCCCCTGAACCCAAAATGTGAAGGTTTAATTTCTAGCTCTGCCACTCATTAGCCTGTAACCTTGTGTGCAAAGGAACCAGCAAGAATGAATGAAGGTTAATGTCATGCTTAGGGTCTTATATCCTCATCTGTAAAATGAAGACAAATAATAATACCAACCTCATAGGGTTGGCCTGAGGAATAAATGAATCAATAATATAAAATGCTGAGGAGAATAGCCCTCTTGTTGTAAGCACTCAAAAAAAAAAAAAAAACGCTGGTTATCATTATTAAACACCACCTGGCAATGGCAGTATGGCCATTCCAACACAGGAAGGGTTTAGAGAAGCATCTATTTGGGAGGAGGAGCTTCGAGACTAAATTTTGAAAAGAGCATTTGCATAGCAAGCAAATCTTTGTTTCTTTTTCAATATTTCTTCATACCATGAGGAAATAACAGAAATATTTTCTCTGTAGGGTTTTTATAAGGATTAAATGATGATACATATGCTGTGCTTAGAACAGTAAGCACTCAGTTAATATTAGTCATTTACTTGGAGTGGCTTGAGAGAGTGCTTAAGATGATAAAGGCAGCTTGAGGGTAAAGGTGCCATTGTGCCCCCACTATAGTCAGGAACCCTCTCGTCAGGAAGCTCTGTTTTATGCCACACCTCACTTAAGTCTTCCCTGCTATGGTTCAAGACAACCATTTACATGTAGAAATTTCCTGAGAATCAAATCAAGGTGCCAGACCTGGGCCAGGTTTCCTAGCAGGCTTACTGCATCTCTTCCCCTAGAGGTGCTCATTGGTCCAGGACAAACCTAAGGGTTCATCTCTGCCTCAAGATGAGACATTGTGACCTCCAGAAGACCCTTTCAGCCTTAGGACCCTAGCTGCAAAGCATCATAGCTCCTAGAGCAAGGACCAAAGACATTCAGTCCACCTGAATCACCTGAACTGAGGATCAGGAAGAGACACAGGTACCAGACTCTAAAACCAAGAAACCCTGAGCTCTCCTTGCTCATGAGCTGAGAAACACAGACACACTTTTTTACCTACTCACCTGCTCCAGGCCTGGCCCTAAATCCCTCCCAGAGGGATCCATGGGTAGAGAGAGGGTCAGGGGCCTTGGACCACAGGGAGGACTCACTGCATGACAGTAGAGAGCTGATCACATGTTGCCTCACAGAACAGTGATGAAACAGCAGGGTCAAGCCTGCCCTGATCAGCCACCAGCTCAGGATGGTTTACCTCATGGATCCCAAAGTGGGCATAGGAGTCGAAGTAATAATCTCTTGAGGTCATTTCCTCTGGGTTCAGCAGCTTGGACATCTTGCCCCGTCCTGGACAGCTGGGTTGAGTGGACACATGATGGATACATTGCACAGGCTTGGGTGGGACCACAGGCTGAGGGAGCTGAGAGGGGGGACTGCTCACCTGAGGGTGAAAAAAGGGAGCCTGGTGTTAACAGTGGCAGCAAGGTGCTGCTTTCTGACATTTTGCCCTTCCTCCTTCCCAGCCCCTAAGCCCAGCTCCAGTCGGCCACAACAGCCACTTCTGAGAGGTGGATGGTGCCTTCAAGCCTTGTGTCAGTCACACTGATGGCTGAGGTGGCATGCTACTCAGGAGCCAAACAGACTGGATTTAACACAGTTCCATCTCTTACTAGTCAGGTGACTTGAGCCCATCTAGCCCCAGTTTCCACATCTGTTAAATAGTAAACATTCAATTAAAGGAAAGATGTATAGCATAGCATCACATAGCCTGGTGGCTAGAGAACAGATTCCAGGGCCAGTCTATTGAAACTTGAATCCCAGCCCAGCAATTTACTAGCTATACAAACTTGAGCAAAGTTATTAACCTCTTGGAGCCTTGGTTCCCCCATATCTAAAATGGGAATAAAATGGTTCCCATTGCTTAGAGTTGACCTGAGAACTAGACAAGTTGGTGTTCATAAAGTGCTTAGAAAAGAGTTGAGCACTAAGTGTTTGTTTAATTAAAATGAGTCCAACCTGTCCTCTTAGGATGGTCACACCCATGGGCTTCTCTCCACCCAATAGGCAACACTTGGCCCCAGAGATGCAGATCTCTTAGGTTCTGGTATCTCACATCTCTTGTCTTGCCCTCTGGTTTCTAATTCACAGTTTTGCTCTGAACTTCAGCAGAAGTTTACTCTGAACTGGGAAGACCCAGGCTGTAGGTGACCTGCCCAGGCACTACACTCACTGCCCTTCCTGGGTTCCCCAATCCTGGCACCCAGCCCAGTGGCACACCTCACTGCTGCTGCCCACCACTAACCACCCCCCACCTCCATAGGCCAAAGGGAGGAGGGAGGAGTAGACAGAAGTTTGGGGAACTTCAGGGATCCAGAAGTTCAAGCCTCCCTGCAGAAGCACAGCTCTGCCGGAAGAGCCTCCCTCCCCAGAGTGCAGGAAATGCAGTGTGCACAGCACAGCAAAGGCTTTAAAGCATGGAAGCATTTTTAAAAACAGAGAGGCGGTATATCCTGTAGTTGGTTGTCTGGGGCTGAGGATCAAGGCTCCTGGATCCTGTCCTGGCTCTAATAAAATGAAAAATAAATATTGAGAGGCAGATGGCACAGTGTGAGAATGCAAACCTGGGTTCACACTGCCTGGCTCTGAAACCCAGACATGCTGCCTGTTGGCCAACAACCGACCTTGGGAAGTCATTTGTCATCACTGTGCCTCAGTTTCCTCCTCTGTATGCAGAGATCTAAATAAAATCTCCCTGAAGAAGTTGTCCAGAAAATTTGATGAATTAATATATGTAAAGATATTAGAACACTAATAATACACTAATAAGTAGATGATGATGATGATGATGATGATGAAGTGTGTGTGTGTGTGTTTAATTCAGATTACATAAACATGTCCCTGTTCTCTGCCTCAAGTTTCTCAACTGTGAGCTGGGTCAGCTCAGACATTCTACCTCCTTTCTTGCAAAGGAAACAGGGAGGTTCTAGGACAGAGCAAGATCAAGAAAAACTAGTGACTTTGTCCCTTCATTATGCTACAGGCACAGCCCCAAGGCCACCCTGGGCTGGAGGGAAGCCAGGTGGGGGGTGTGGTGCTCCCATTTTCCTGGTGTATCTAGGCTACAGCCTCTGGGAAATAAGCACACTTCCCAGTTTAGCAACATCAGATTTCAGGTCGTAGAGCTCCCAGGCTGGCTGGCTGAGGCAATCAGGGCTGCCTCATTAGAATGCAGCAGGTGTGCCCACCCTCAGCTTAGGATGTTGGTCACGGTTTTAGGGAAGCTAAAAATAGGCCGTGTCAATTGCACACTCCCTGCTGGCTGCAGAGTCACCTCTAAAGCTGAAAAAGGCTCTGTGCATGAAGCTGACCCCAATCTTGATTCTATTTAAATATATTAAGAGAAAAAATCCTAGCTAGTTCAAGCAATATGTGTGGTAAAGGTCACAGGTAGCTCCTGCACCCCTTAGCTGCCATTCAACCCTGATTCCAAGGCTCCCTGAGACTCCCCAGCAGCCAGTTTATAAAGTGTCAACCATGTATGCACATTGCATTCATGAGGGGAATGGATGAGTAGATGTAGAGGGTCATTCAGCTCAATAACCACAGGTCATGGGAATAAAGAGGTGACTGTTGCCCCATCCCTGATGTCACAGGCTGTCAGCCCAACTCAGCCTGCTACAGAGGGACCTTGCATTCTGCCCATGAGCTCATAGGTTTGCCTTGTCTCAGGAGGCTGGGAGTGGGATGGGAAATAGCAGTGACCCATGATCCCTGGGCATTCAGCTACCTAGGGGCATTCAGCTACCTAGATGGTGCTTTTCACTCCACAAGTACCTCAAGAGCATCTGTTGCAGTGAGGCACCTTGTGAGTCCTGTGGGAGAAACAGATGTACAGGGCAGAGCCCTCAAAGGACTCTGCTGTCTAGTAGGAGTATAAGGCTGCCGGGGGCTCCACTAGATGAAGGAATAGATTTGTTTCACAACAGAAGCTCAAGAAAATTGTGCTGGGGGCTCAAAGGAGAGAATTTTTTTCCATTTAAAGAGTCAGAAAATCCTGGGATAATAGTGGTGGGGTAGATGGGAAGCTTTCTGAATGGATTTCGGTAGGTGGAGGTGGTGGGAAGGATTCTAGGAAGAAGGGATGGCTTGAACAAAGATGTAAAGGGGCTGGAAATCAGTGAGCTCATTTGGGGAACAATGTGGCTGAGATAGTGGGAGATTGGGCTGAAGAAAAAGTATGGTTGGGCTATGATGTAATTAAACACAAGACAATGGGGAGCTGTTGGTGGTTTGTAACCACGGAGTTCTGTTTGAACTCTACTTTAGGGAGATTAATGTGGTGACTACCACAGGGGCAAGGAGAAGAAAGGAAGGGTGGAAGGTCTGGCATTGGGGAGGCAAGGTATGAAATTATGAGGCTATTTGCATAGTTCAGTGAAGAAATAATGGGAACCTGGAGGACGGTTGAGAGAGAGGGGCTGCCTGCCAAAGAAGCTGCAGAAACAGAACCTATGGAAGTTGGCTACTGACAGCAAGCCAGGACCCAAAAGTGGCTCCCACAGTTCAAGGCTGGGGGACTAGGCAAGTGGCGGTGACATGAACAGAAATAAGCAAATCAGCAAGAAGGGCAGGTTGGGCAGGGAAATGATGGGCAGTGAATTTCAATTCACTATGTGACCGTGAGATGCTATTGAGTCATGTAAGGAAAGATGTTTAGCAAGCCAACAAGGAGTCCCAGTCAATAAGTATCACAAACCAAATTAAAAGGCCAGTGGTAAACTGAGATTACATTTCTACCATGCATGGCAGACAAAGGTTAAGATCCTTTGCAGGGACAGAGCTCCTACAAACCAATGAGACAAAGAAGAACATCCCCAATTTAACATCAGACAAAATTCTTACAACCAATTCACGTGAAAAGAAACACAAATGGCAAATTAACACCCCACAGAAATGTTTAACCTGTTTAGAAGTCAGATAACTTTAAACTCAAATAAAAAGTGATTATTTTTAAATACCAAATAAGTTCAACTACCCCCTCAAACTACTAAAAACCCTGCACTTTTAATGGTTGCAAAAAATAGGTACTTTTATACATATCTAGTGAAACTTTTTGGAGGGTAGTTTGATAAAGTCTATTAAAAGTACTAAAAGCCCAAATTTGTTAGCCCGATATTTCCACTTGTTTGTAATTTATCCTCAGGAAAGAATCATGGATAGTCATAAACATGTGGCTATAAGAATTTTGTGATAGCACTATTTAATGGCAAAATATAGGAGTTGATTTAGAGGAACCTCTAAATTGATTCCAGAAAGCACAACTGATTGCATATTCTATGGTACATTGACACAGTATAGGCTGCATTACACAGCCTTTTACATGCTGTGGAAGAGTGTTTATTAACACAGAAATATAATCACGATAAGCTGTGGGTTGAGAAGAACAAGTTGGGGAAGAATAGACAGTGCGATTGCATTTTGAAAATTAAAACCTATTCATGCCTATGTGTGATAAAGGGGGACTCTGGGATTATCATAGGATTATCAACAGTTAATTCTTTTCTTTCTTGTGCTTGTTTATAGTTTCTAAAATGTATGCCATTAGTAATGCTGCTTTGGTAAATAGAAAGAGGTAATAGTGGGAAAGAAAGTGAAATGTGATCCCAGAGCTCTAGAGGGAAGCTGAGGCTGGCACTCTGGATCAGAAAACCATCTGCACTGGGGAATGGGGAGAGGAAGGGCTGCAGCATTCATAAGGGAGAGACCCTCAGGAAAGGAGGTAGAGGGGGTGAGATTGGGCCTGGGAGAGAAGCTGAAACATTAACCTCCAAGGACTTTGAAAGCATCAGGGGTCCCAGGGAGAGAGATGTGCCTTCACGCTTCCAGTTCTGTGACTGCCCCTCCTCTGAGGACACACAACCCACACATTGCACTCCAGGGATGGGGCAAGGGCACCAAGAAAGACAACTGCCATACAGCCTTGCAGATCCAAAAGGGTGCTCTGCTCAGGAAGCTGTGCAGTCACCCCTGAACCTGAAAAAGTCCGTGTACACCAAGCTGACCCCAATTTAAGTATAATTTCTCTCCATTAAAGTATATTAAGAGGAGAAAAAGTTCTAGCTGGTTCAGACAGCATGTGTGGTAAAGATCGCAGGTAGCTCCTGCACCCCTTGGCTGCCATTCAACTCTGATTCCAAGGTCCCCTTTTCCATGGGGCTCCCTGAGACTGTTTCCCCAACAGCCAACTTACAGAGTGTCTTCTATGCACCACATATTGCATTCATGAAGTAAAGGGGTTTTTTGAGGGGGGTAGAGGAAGTCATTTAGCTCAATAACCACACAGGTCATGGGAACAAAGAGGCAACCTTGGCCCCATCCCTGATGTCACAGACTGTCATCAGCTCAGCTCAGCCTCCTATAGAGGAGACTTGAACTCTGCCT